GGTTGAAGCTACGAACCCATAGGCTTGGCTCTCTCATCCCTTTCAGGCTTTTGGGAGGGTGGACAATGAGCCTGTCATAGCAGATGTAAGCAATGTCCCCACACGCTCTGGCAGCTTTCATGGCTGGGATAAGTTATTTCCTCTCTGGCGCACAGCTTCAGGATAGTCCTCGTTGAGGAAGATATACGTTCCTCTCAAGTTCTTTGCTCTTTCCAGAACAGCTACCTTGTCCTTTACCACTATCGGCCTGGGCATCTCACCTGGGCCTGTGGTGGGTTTTCCAGTCCTGTGGGCTCTACCTCAATCTTCCTGTGGTCCATCTTCAATTTCTCAGAGATAATTTCCCTCACTTTGTCCTCAGTGGGAATCTCGTGGAGATTCTGCAATTCCGTCCACAACCATGTTCCGCATTGATTGTCCCTCAAGAGAGTCTGATTTATCGGTCATTGTTATCATGACTTACAGATTGCTGTCATCTTGCCGTTCTCCTGTTTCAACTCATCGAGCTGACCCTAGGGGAAATGCAAACTGTTCTTCAGGTCCTGGACACCTCTGGTCAGGTCATCCATTATTTTATTAGTTGACTCCACCAGTATTTGGACAAAACACTTGAAGCTGTTTTCTTGTTGTAACAACTGCTTGTAGAACTCCATTTGTTCGTTTTTAAAAGATCCTTCACCTGTGATCGAGAGACACCACTGTCCTCAACGGTACTCCCGCCGGCTTTTGTCTTTGCCATGGTAGCATTGTAGGTTATGCTGTTACTCCTCACAGTTCCAGACAGGGCAGGTCACAGGGAAGATTGAAAACAACAACAAACAGCAGGGGTCTAGACAGCCACAAGCCCGGGACAATCCGAGGTCCCAGCCACAATGGCTAACCATGTCGCAGGCTGCGTTCAATCCCTCAAGAAACCCCTCTAGCTTGATTGGCAGCTACGCAAAATAGTTCCCCAGACCCGGCCTTGGTCGGCAGGATCACTGGACAGAGAGTAGCAGTCCCAGCAACTGATGCCAACTGCATCGCGGGATCGAAACTAAGAAGTTAGCTAGCTACTAAGAAACTTTCCAATACACTTTCAAAACAACAAACCAGGCTCTCCCTCTTTCCACGTTCAACAGGAATTGATGATGTGGATGATTGAGTTACAGTTCATATAAGGAAATTAGCCCATTGAAATTCATTAGGCCCTAATCTATGGATTTCACATGACTGGGAATACAGATATGCATCTGTTGGTCATAGATACCTTTAAAAAAAAGTAGGGGCGTGGATCAGAAAACCAGTCAGTATTTGATGTGACCACCATTTGCCTCATGCAGCGCGACACATCTCCTAAGCATAGAGTTGATCAGGCTGTTGATTGTGGCCTGTGGAATATTGTCCCACTCCTCTTCAATGGCTGTGCGAAGTTGCTGGATATTGGCGGGAAACTGGAACACGCTGTCGTACATGTCGATCCAGAGCATCCCAAACATGCTCAATGGGTGACCTGTCTGGTGAGTATGCAGGCCTTGGAAGAACTGGGACATTTTCAGCTTCCAGGAATTGTGTACAGATCCTTGCGACATGGGGCCGTGCATTATCATGCTGAAACATGATGTGATTGCAGCGGATGAATGGCACGACAATGGCCCTCGGATCTCGTCACGGTATCTCTGTGCATTCAAATTGCGATCGATAAAATACAATTGTGTTCGTTGTCCGTAGCTTATGCCTGCTCATACCATAACCCCACCCCACCACCATGGGGCAGACATTGACATCAGCAAACCGCTTGCCCACAAGACGCCATACACGCAGTCTGCCATCTACCCGGTACAGTTGAAACCGGGATTGATCCGTGAAGAGCACACTTCTCCAGCGTGCCAGTGGCCATAGAAGGTGAGCATTTGCCCACTGAGGTCGGATACGATGCCAAACTGCAGTCAGGTCACGACCCTGGTGAGTACAACGAGCACGCAGATGAGCTTCCCTGAGACTGTTTGACAGTTTGTCCAGAAATTCTTAGATTGTACAAACCCAGTTTCATCAGCTGTCCGGGTGGCTGGTCTCAGACGATCGCGTAGATGAAGCCGGATATGGTCCTGGGCTGGCGTGGTTATAAATTATCTGGCGACAGCTCTGGTGGACATTCCTGCAGTCAGCATGCCAATTGCACGCTCCTTCAAAACTTGAGACATCTGTGGCATTGTGTTGTGTGACAAAACTGCACATTTTAGAGTGGACCTTTTAATGTCACCAGCAGAAGGTGCACCTGTTTAATGATCATGCTATTTAATCAGCTTCTTGAAATGCCACACCTTTCAGGTGGATGGATTATCTTGGCAAATGAGAAATGCTCACTAACAGGGATGTAAACAAGTTTGTGCACAAAATTGGGGAGAAATAAGCTTTTTGTGCGTATGGACAATTTCTGTGATCTTTTATTTCAGCTCATGAAACATGGGATCAACACTTTACATGTTGCGTTTATATTTTGGTTCAGTGTAGTTTTTCAAGAATGGGCTTAAACGGATACAGACCTTCTCTATAAATTGATATAAACTGTGTTTTAGGTCTTCCTATTAAACCATGTTGTTGCTTGTTTTCCCCCAGAGTAGGATATAAAACAGACTATTCTTTTAGGGATACTATGGTGCAGGTGCCTTTCTGTCTTAATATGCGTTGTTTTTTTATCATTTTGTTGGTCATTGTTGCGTGTTCTGTCCTTGTAAGTAATTGATGCATGCTGTGATGAAAACAATTTTCCAAATTGGGATTAATAAAGTAGTACTCTACTCTATAGGGGTACTGTATTATGATGCCAGAAATGGAGGGGGTAGAAAATGGTATGCATGTTTTGAGTTGTGTGTGTGTGTGAACAGGAATAAACCTACATAGACTGTCTCTGAGCCGTGGAGCTAATCATTCAGCAGGTCACCACCCTGCCTTGGCCCGGAGCCAAGTCTACACCATGATAAGAGTGAGGGAGGGGGTGGCAGGGCACCATGTCCTTGTTCCTGGGTGGTAATGTTTATTATGTTTCCCACCTTAAAGAGCAGAGCTGGAGCCAAGCTTTCATTTGTATGGTGTACATTTTAGGACATGTCCTTGTTCCTGGGTTAGGGTTCAGGTGGTTGTCTATCATGTATCGGCCTGTAAGAGCAGAGGTGGAGGAGGACTGACAGACTTAACGACACCAAACTTTTATCTGTATGGTGTATATCTTAGGACATTCATGTGTTGTGGATGTCCTAAAATGGGCACCGTAAATCTGTAGTCCAACTCGATGCACAACAGGAAATATCTCAGCATGTGTAACCAGAATACAGTATGCAATACACTTATTCCATCTGAATCTCATTTGATTTGGTCATGCACACATTCTGATCCCACAAGGTATAATATTATATACATTGTGGTGCACTCGGATGTATGGATTGATGTGACTCAATAAAAAAACTGGATCAACATTATAGGATCAATACAGGGTTTTGTTATTTCATCATTGTAAATCTAAAAATGGGTGTCTGTGTAGCTATGTGACTCATTGTCTCTGTCTTCCAGGTCCAGAACCTGAACAACATCATCTCCTTCCCCCTGGAGAATGTCCTGAAGAGTGAGCTCAGAGACAGCAGACTGGTGAGTAACTAGGGTTGTAAGATTCCAGTAACTTTCCCAATATGTGCTGGTTTTCCAGAAATCCCGGTTGGATTGTTCCCGGATTTCCTACTTATCCCCTCCTAATTACAGGAATCTTCCAACCGGGATTTCTGGAAAAAACAGCAAATATTGGGAAAGTTACAGGAATCTTCCAACCGGGATTTCTGGAAAAACCTGGTCATTTTGGGAAAGTTACTAGAACTTTGCATCCCTATGAGTAGCTCTACTGTAGTGTTCAAACTGTAAGTCTTCTGTGTAACCTACTGTGTGCTAACTCTCCTGCCTCCCACGGTCTGTGTCTGTAAAGTCACCTCGTCTAAGAGTAAACCACAACCCTGCAAAACATCAGCTCTTGGATACTTACTACTGTCTAGTGGCATTTTATGACCAACACCCGTATTGTGGTGTTTGTCGCAAATTAGTGAAAGCTTTTTAAACTATGTTGCAACCCATCAGATGATATATACTTCATTCAATATGTCAGTGTGTTTGTATCTGTACCATAAATATGTTTGGGAGTTTTTCCTGACCTGGTCAGGAAAACCCCTGACCCTACATAATGACCTATCAGTCATTCACCGGCAGTAGATATTGTTATTGTAAAACCCCTTTGCTGAAGTGTTATATACGTTTGAGTGACTGGGGCCTCCTGTGCAGTGTGAATGTCCACAGTTTAGATGATATACAGTAGACTAGAGGCTGTGTTTATTTGATATGTCTGGAGCGCATGCCCAGCTGGTCATAACCATCTTTTTCGTCTTGTCTTCTTTAGGAGCTGAAGAAACAGTTGGAGAAGAGCTGGAAGGACTATGACATCAAAGTGTAAATTGATAGGGATTGAGGATTTTAGTCTCTTCTTTAGTCTGTTCTTTATATGGTCCATCTCTCAGAAAGATAAGAGGGTATTTATACACATCCAGTAATGTTCAATTTCGAAATGAACAATGCTTTGTACGATGCTGAGGCAGGGCACCTTCCCATCTCAATTTGAGCTCAGACATTACACTGTTGGTTAATATAAGGAAATAAGATACGAATGGGGTTTCACCTCCACTCTCCGTAGTTATCTTTGATCCAATTTCCCCCTCACGTGAACTAATTGAAAGGAGGGAGTGTGTTACAGGAATAGGACGTGTGAAAGGACAAAGATTAGAACAGTAAATACCTGCTGATTTGTATCATGTAAATCCACCCATATCTCTATCACATTAGCATGCACACACTCTCTCTTTCTCATGCACTGTCCCTGGTCTCCTCAGCAGCTGTGTATTGTCTGCCCTGCTACATTTTATAACGCTCTTTGTTTTCATTTAAGGGTACCAATGCATTTCTCTCAAACTCTATCTCTCTCTCAGTGGGAAACTGGAGAAGGAGAGGAGGGAGAAGAGCCGGCAGCTGGGCCTGATCAAGACCGAGGGATACAACGTGACGGAGGACATGGAGCGAGAGAGGAGGACCTTCCAGCTGCAGATGTGTGAGGTGGGGGCAAGGAGCTGAGACTAGACAGGAAACGCACACACGCGCTCCCCCCCCCCCCCCCCCCCCCTTGCTTGAGTGCCTGTACATTTTTTGTAGGCCTATTTTGACAATGAAAAAGCTTTGCTATACATTTAATTAGATTGTTCTTGTGACACTGTTACCTACAAGGATATACCATGGCTTTTGAAATACTTTATTTAATAGAACGACACACTTTTGAATGTACTTTTTATTACAGTGTGTTGAGCTACTGCTGCGCATTTAGCCCTCTAATCTGTCTGCCCTGACATCGATATGCTATTTCCTCCACTTCAAATAGCAATTACAGGTGCGCACTAACAGACTTTGACGATACCTGACACAGACCAATGCAAAATACTCACCAGAAAACCTTTTTGTATCAGAATCAGTTCTATCATGGTGAAAATCAGACTTTTGATTTGATTAGGATCCTAGATCTGTGCATAAGGACAACTTCTCCCCTGAACAGCACAGATTGGATCATGGTGGGGGGGAGCAGACCCAGACTATGTAAAATGTGGAGCACAGATTGGAATCGGTATCACGCTAACACTATTGCACTGACTCCAAAGCTAAGCTCAGTTAAGGTTGTAGCCCACAGTTACACTTTACGAGCGTAGGGGAATTTGTTATTTAGTTTCACTCTCTCTGTGAGGTCAGCTGCTGAGATGGATAGAAGAGGGGAATTTTTCCCCTTCCTCCAAGGCTCTCGCCTGGGTCGTATTCATCAGGGCACGCAACAGAAAACGTTTAAAACATTTATCAGAAAGCAAAAATCTTTCTTATTGGATAATTCGAGGTTGTACATCGCTGTTTTATCGTTTTTTTCTTGTTTGTTGCCTAATGAACATGACCGAGCACAGCCGCAGACAGATGGCTTTAAACAAGGCTTTATGGAGCAGAGACGAAGCAGACTGCAGTCATTCCTTCCAGAAGCAGCAGCGAGCTCCTACAGCTGGCTCCCAAGGCTTTTTCCTACCTTTTTTAAAGCAACATTAAGACTTCAAACATGGATCAGGGAAAAAACACACCCTGAATTTGTTCTGTGTTATTTCATGTTTGGGCTAAGTCCTGAGAACCATATGGTCTTCGACAGAAGAAAGACTTGTTTATATTAAGGGCCAGCATTTTTCCTGACCATGATGTGACAATGAAGGCCAGGACGTTTTCCTAGTCAAGTCACAATGGTCAGGAAAAACTCCACACCCTATTCAAATATACAGTACATTTCTCTAAACCAGGGTTAATGAGTGACTGGTTGAATCAGTAAAATGATGCACAACTTAATTGTGGTCTATAACCAGTGTGACCGTTTCGGAACCTAAGCAACCTTAACCTAAACCTAAGCTCTGTAACCATGGTTACTAATCCTACATCCTCTGGTTTGTCCAGTACTTGCTAAAGATCCAGGAACTGAAGGTACGCCAGGGTCCAGACCTGCTCCAGAGTCTCATCAAGTACTTCCAGGCCCAGCTCAAGTAAGTTCTCCTTCTATGCTGCATTCATGCCCTTTTCAAGTTATTGAGCCAAACCGAGCCAAGCTGTACTGGTCTGGCCAGGTTACACATCCACTATTACCCTTTTCACACTACTGAGCCCAACCAAACCAAGCTGCGCTGGACTGGACTGCATTGGCCTGGTTATAGTCCATTATATAGTTAGTGGAACTGTGCTTGAGGATAATGTGTAAAGAAAATATCAGAGCTGGTTCGGTTTGGCATGAAAGAACAAAGGGACTTATGGTAAAGCATATGGCTTTCATATGCAACCTACTGTTGAGTTTCCCAGCTACAACACAGAGTAGCACCACCACAAAGGGTTTACCTCAGGAATGTTACTGTGGCTTCTGGTGTAAAATGTTGTGGCTGTTCAGTTTTGTCTTCCTTTTACTAGCTATTGCCACGGTACTTAACTATTTGTTGCATATGTAGTGTTTGTTCTACTTGGTATGCTAGGAGCTCTTATAACCTGTGTGCATGCCTGTGCGTGAGTTTTTGGGGTCATGTACCTGAGTGTTAAGGCCGACATCCACCAATGACTCAGCGTTGTTGTCTTGTCTCAGTTTCTTCCAGGACGGCCTGAAAGCTGCAGAGAACCTTTGTCCCTTTGTGGAGAAGCTGGCTGCGTCTGTCCACACGGTAATAACTATTTTTATGTTTTGTCTACCTGTTTGTCAGTCAGTTTCGCCTTCCCGTACGAGAGGATTTAAGTGAAATGTTACTACCTTTGTCTGTCTATCTGTTTGTCAATCAGTCTCTCCATCCACATGAGAGGATTTAACTGGAATGTCCACAAGCCTATCGAGGCCCCAGTCATAAAGAAATAACTACGGGCACATTTCCCAGTATGTTGACTTGAATGGGAAATCCCCTTCTAGTAATTCTATTTCTATGCATTTCCCTCACCTTTGTTTTGAGTGTGCTATCTTATCTAGAACGTAAGTCAGTCACCACAGATTTACTGTCTGGGTCAAAGGTCAGATTCCATTCCAACTGCTGACCTTCTTTCTGAAGCTAAGTTTAGTAAATAGTGTTGTGGAACTATGATACGAACCATGTCTTCTCTACCATGTGACTACCATAGAAATATAATCTAGATTATATTTCTATGGTGACTACCGTTATACTACTGCTTGTACAGGTGGTTGTGTTGGCAGTTAAGCTGTCTGAAGATTGTGAAATATTTTAAACTTAGTCATAGCCATGTAACTGTGTAAATCTGAAACGAGAGACCCTTGTCTGTTTAGAATAGGGTTAGTGAAAGGTTAGGTTTTAGGGCTTCTCTCAGTGTGTGTCTAGCCGGCTGTCTGACGGTCATGCACGCTCACGAAAGCACACACACTAACAACCCCCCACAGATTTCCAACTGCCTATGGAAGCCCAGTACAGACACAATAACAGATAACACATCACTAGCAGACAACTGTAAACCTCATAGACCGACAACAGTTGTTAGCTACAGTCAAATTCCTCTTTAACAACCAACCCTCTTAACCCTCAACAACCTATCTCCTCCCAGACTTTGCCAACCCACAGGCTGCTATTTGATGCAATTCCCAATTTCAGTGGAAGCACACTCCCCTTCCACTATAACCGCCTAGACAGGTTTCCAAACCCTTTACCCCCTCCCCCAACAGCCAAACTAGACAATCACAAGGTAACAGAGAATGGTTGCCAATGTGGAAATGATAGTCTTTGTTTTATAAACCTAGCTGAATCTGTACGGTGGTGGCTATAATGGGACGGCCTGGTAGACCTAATGACCTAGATTTGCTTATCTAAGCTAAGGTCAACTCTCTCGCATGTGTGTTGGCTGTCTCTGTCTGTCTCTCTCTGTCTCCCTCTTTCTTTCTCTGCCATAGGGTTGCAAAGCTACCGGTAATTTACCAAAGTTACCAGAATCCTCAATTTTGGTAATTAACAGAAAATCTATGGCAATCTATCGTAACTTTGGTAATTTATACTTGAATAACTTTTTTTTTTAAATGTATTAATATAGAATTCATTTTTCATATCTGTGTCCATATTTCCCATTCATTTCTAGTAGATAGACCATATGGTTCAAGAGAAAATAGCCTAATTAATGAAAAAAGCATCTATTCAACAATGGCATTATTTTCAATTAAAGATGCACTATGCAGAAATCGTTCCGCCATTTCCTGGTTGCAAAATTCTAATAGTTTGCCTAATTTCAGTTTGTGACAAAACAAGCAAGTCATCATTGTACCATCTAAACTGCTTTGAAAAATATTTTCCATAACCAAAAATATTGTATTTTCAGCTGTTTAAAGCTGGTGTACAAAACTGAAAGTAAAAGACGCGAAAATGAAACAGAAGAACGGGAAGCATAGAAATGGCGCACATAGAACAGATCTACCTCTTCTTAGACTTGCTTTCAATGAGAATGAAACACACACATTTCTATGTGAATTTGGTCGGGTCGTCCAAAAAGTCACACATTGCACCTTTAACTCTGCAACTCTTCCAACTATTGGCTGCCACCAATTTGACGCCAAAACGTTGACAACTAATACATATTGACATAGTAAAATCAATTAAAGTGTGTAAATATAAAGAATATTTCATGCTGAAACCCTCATATTAAACACAAATGAAACGCAAATGGTATTCACTAAGTTGATGGTTTATATTTAGAATGTTTTAAAGCTTTGTCATTTTTATTTAAAAAATCGTCTTATTTAATTGTCATATATTTTACACGTGATAAACTCACACAAAGGGCCAGAGATTATTACAGACACCTGTGATAATCTGAAGTACTCAAAAGGGCCACTAGATGTTTTGTGATAGATTACATAAAACCCTACTCTGGCATCAGGCACGGTATTAGTAAAGGACACTTGACTTTAATGAGCGTGTCGGTGGTTCTTCTTGTTCTGCTTGGTCCAAAAGGGGGCAAGCTCAGGCTCTTTATTTCTCATGTTCAAGGAAGTATTAGGAAAAGATACTGGTTTGGCCTTTTTCATGATTCATTAATGCGACAGGGCAGATAGGGGTGGTACTAGGCTAGCCTGGTGGTTTGTGGGGTCTAGGAGTTGGCAAGACAGCACAAACAGATCTGGGATCAGACTAAGATGGGGGCCCCAGAACCAGAGAGCGTTGTAGTGTTCTAGCTCTGCACGTTATGCAAAACTTGGTTTTACAGAGGCCATATCAACAAAGCATCCCATCCCACAGCCACTATTTTCTGGGAAAAGGTTGATGTTGTGCCCAAAGCTGCAATCAACGTCAAACTCCCTCCCAAATCCAAATCTATGTGTGTTTGTATTCGATACAGTAGATAGTATTTAGCTAACACACTGATCTGATCTGTCCTTTGTGTGTGTGCTGTAGGTGCGACAGGGCCAGGACGAGGAGGTGAGGCAGCTCTCTCAGCTACGAGACTCCCTTAGGCTGCTGCTACAGGTGGAGGGGAAAGAGGTACGGTTTCCACCCCTACACAACTCAAACACCTCTATGCACATTCTGTGCTGGGCCATGTTCATCAGGCACCAAACGGAAGAAAATGGACTGAAACAGAGAGGGACTACATTTTACATTTGACATTCTAGTCATTTAGCAGACACTCTTATCCAGAGCGACTTAGTTAGTGAGTGCATACATTTTCATACTGGCCCCCCGTGGGAAACGAACCCACAACCCTGGCGTTGCAAGCACCATGCTCTACCAACTGAGCTACACGGGGCCTCGACTACCTCTGCTTGTTCAATAAGAATGTGCTACCTTTTTATTGTTCCAGTGTCATTCAATAAACCGTAGTCTATCTTGCTTTTTAATATTGTTCTAAAACTATTTTTTGGGACTAAGTCACTCTACTGTTTTGTGATAGGAATACCTGAACAGAAAGAACTCGGGCAACGGATACAGCATACACCAACCTCAAGGCAACAAGAAGTATGGCACGGAGAAGTCAGGCTTCCTACAGAAGAGGAGTGACGGGTGAGTCTGTGTGGAGAAGGTCAAAATACTGATAAATATACTGACAATGTATATACACTGACAACACGCGGCTCCAATTCCACGTACCATGAGACACATGCACACATACACATACACCGTACCATTAATCCCCAATAGGAGGATCCCACAAAGCCTGGTCCCAGATCGGTTTGTGCTGTCTTAAAAACTGCTATGGTCATTGACAATGAACATAGGATTTTGCAAGACAGATCTGGGACCAGGCTAGGATTCCACAGGCTGTTTTGTGGCCTATATTATATTCACTTTAAATTGCTCTGATTCAGGGGTTCTGGCCCATAAAGCTACTGGGGCCCTGACCAATGATATCATTAATACATATGTGTAGTATGAAAAATGTATGCACTCACTAACTGTAAGTCGCTCTGGATAAGAGCGTCTGCTAAATGACTTAAATGTAACATGTGTACAATATCATGATGTCCATGGGGCCTGACATGGGAGCAGGCCTAGGCAGGGTTAGGGCTAAGGTAAGGCCAAGCCCCGAGACTTGCCTGCTGACTGCATCTTCCTTGGAGAGGCTAGAATATGGTTTGGGGATGGGGGAGGAGGAGGAGAAGGGAGAAGGGGGGGGGGGGGTTAATAAGGGATATGTAGCCGGGTGGAACGTGACAATGAGATGGAGAGGCTGGGAAGCACAGTGCCATGTCAGCCCCAGCTGGTCTTCATTATTTTGGGGTTTGGATCCAGGCTGAGAGTCCTGGCTGGATGAGTGGTTCCAGCTCCTCCAGCTAAGCCATGTCATGCAGAGAGAGAAAAGGGGAGGAGAGGGGGAGCGAGGGAGGGGTGAGAGAGGGGATAGAGAAGGAGATAACGAGAGAGAAAAAGAGACCGGGACACTCCGAGAGGGATTCTGGAAGTCCAAAGCAGGCCTATGTCTCCATTCTAGCCCCTCTCTCCCCTGTTCTGTCCTCGTTCTCAGAGCATTAGATTACAGTGTGATAACATGGGGGGGGGGTGGTGGTGAGTCAGTTAGTTTCCCTAACTTGTATTCCAACAAATGACGAGTTAACTTGATGGTAGATCTACTATAAGGTTATGCCTGACTTAGACTGTGGTCTGTCTCTGCATCTCCTCCAGGATTAGGAAGGTGTGGCAGAAGAGAAAGTGTGGCGTCAAGTACGGCTGTCTGACCATCTCCCACAGCACGGTGAGACTCGACAACGGCTACGTCTCAAATGGCACCCTATTCCCTATATAGTGCACTACTTTTGACCAGGGCAATATATAGGGAATAAGGTACCATTTGGGACGTAACCAACATCTGTCTCATTTCCTGTATCCCATAAACCATACAGTAAAGCTCACTGGCAAAAGGAATCCTCCAACAAGTGTATACCTGACTACCTGTAACTTTAAATCCGTCGCCAGGTTGCTGATGCCCTAGAAATATACCCCTCAATAGCTTTTCAGTCTGGTATCAAGTAGCACTCTTCTCTGTACTTTTAAGCCAAGTTGTACTGTGCTGCCCTGCATGTACCATAGTTGGTGGAACCATGCTGGAAAATACCATGTGAAAAGACCATCTCTAAGCCAGCATGGTACGGTTCTGGTCGACCCTAGAGTGAGAATTGACCGCAGTGTCGTTGGTTCCACAGATAAACCGACCACCGGCTAAGCTCAACCTTCTGACCTGTCAGGTGCGCCCCAACCCCGAGGAGAGGAGGACCTTTGACCTGGTCACACGTAGGTTCACCCCTCCTTGACCTCTCACCCTTGACCCGTCACCTTTGTCCACATACCTATGGGCTGAGCTGTACACGTGTAAAGAGACTATTTTTGCTGAAGTTGCTATTTTTTCAATTTCCTTGCATCTGGATGGACATTAACCCCATTGTTTTGTTTAATTTGTATAGTTATAAGTTATCACTAGTTATGTTTTATGCTCTTGGAACAAATTGTAGTAATATTTACTGTGATTAATTTGTAATGTTGCAGTGTGGGCGTTTGCATATATACCTGTTTGTGTGTGTTTGTGTGTGTACGCACATGCGTGCGTGCGTTTCTTTGTCTAAGCCCGTGTGTATGTAATGGAAAGCAGGTGCAGAGAGGCGGGTCTCCCTCAACGGTTTCTCTCTCTCTGTGCCTCTGGATCAGGTTTTCCCCCTGTAATGTATCCCTTGGTATGTTGCCTACTGCACTCTCTCTAGCTCTCCTTTCCTTCTCCTCCTTCTCCTTTCATCTCTCCTCTCCCTCTACGTTCACACCCATCTTTCCTCTGTCTCTCCTCTCCAGACAATCGGACCTACCATTTCCAAGCCGAGGACGAGCAGGAATGCAAGATGTAAGCACAGCACTGGAGTCCCTCATATTCTAAACAAGCATTGTTCCAAATAGACTGAGGAGCAAGTAAAGACTTGTTCCATGATTGAGCCATTCAGAAAGAGAGAGTGAGAGAGATACGATATAGTATTTATTTCAGAGAGAGACCGATACAATGTAGAGAGGGATGCAGTTACATTACTGAGGGACATTGAGAGAGGGAGCGATGGAGAGAAACGGATACAATGTTTCTTTCAGAAAGCGAAAAAGAGTTAAATTGAGAGAGGAACGGATAGTGAGGTTACAGAAAGCAGATGAGAGAAGCATTCAGGAAGCGAGACTGTAATTTGACACACACACTCCAATTGAGAGGGAGGGGCAATGTATCGAGAGAATAGGGCTGTCAGAGAGAGATAAAGAGAGGAGAGAGAAAGAAAGAAAGAAAGGCCAGCTGGTTTGGGGTGGGGACCTCTCTCTGGAGCCCACAGAGCTGAGTAGGGGGTTTCTCTCCTCTCTTCCTCCACTCCTCTATGTGGGCTTCAGATTCTGCCTTTCTTTTGATGTCATCTGTGGGGAGGAAGGAGGGAGAGAGGTTCGGCTGAAACGAAAGCAACGGAAAGAAACGGGGGGGGGGGGGGGGGGGGGTACAGTATAATAATAGGTTTACTGCGGTGTGAACGTGCCAAGCTTATAGCGGTGGTACAGTATAATTCTATACTTGCGTTAGACACACAGCTGCACAAAGGACTAATGTGGGCAGGTGGGTGCTTTTGAAGTGCATTTGGTTACATTAAAGTAGTTCCATAAAATAAACATTTCAAATGTAGATGTAGTTCCATAAAAACAAGCCCTATCCAAAAAGAACGACTTGTACGACAATACATACTGTATAAAAGTTAAATTGCATTGTTTACCCCTCCGTCTGTCTCCCTCTGTCCGTTTCTGTCTGTGTCTCTGTGTTCCTCTCCCACCCTCTCCCTACAGTTGGGTGTCAGTGCTGCAGAACAGTAAGGAGGAGGCCCTGAACACGGCATTGGGCGGCGACCAGCTGCAGTTCCAGGACTCTGGGCTGCAGGAGCTGGCCAGGGCCGTCATCACCGAGCTCAGACGCATGCCCGGCAACGAGGCCTGCGCCGACTGTGGAGCCCACGGTGAGACAGGAGGAGGCCTGGGGTAGAGGCCTTGGCCAGAGAGAGAGACTTAAAAAGAGACTATACCAAGGGCCAAGAGTTATTTTCTGGTCAGGTCTCATGGTCAGGAAAAAAACCCTGGCCCTAAATAGTATACAGTCCACTGTATATTATATTTTCCTACTTTTTAATACAGGGACAAATTTGTGCTCGCTAATGTCTGGACCGTCCCTGACAAAAATGTGAAGCTTTACTAAATGTGGGGGCCATTTTAAACACAGTTTTGCTCATTCCATCACAGTTTCTCTGTGCATTGTGTAACAACATGACAATCCGAGTATTTGAATACACTGACTCCATTCCTCATGTTGTCAACAGATCCTACCTGGCTCTCCACTAACCTGGGCATCCTGACATGTATAGAGTGTTCTGGGATCCACAGGGAGTTGGGAGTCCATTACTCTAGGATCCAGTCCCTCACACTGGATATGCTCAGCACTTCAGAACTACTGGTAACACACACACACACACACACACACACACAAATTCTAGACTTCAACAAGAGCTTCTGTCGTGGAGGTAGTTCTGTGACCTCTAGAGATATCATCTAAGCTCAGCAGGCTAACACAGTCTTAAGTTGTGACGACAACCCAGGTTCATTAGCTGGTCAGTTGAACTTCTAAACCTGTCATGCATATGAATTACTTGTATGCATACTTCTCTAACTCCTTCCGTTTGTCTGTCTGCTTCTCTGTCTGTCTGTCCACAGCTGGCGGTCAGTATAGGCAACACGCGGTTCAATGACATCATGGAGGCCAATCTTCCCAATGATTCCATCAAACCTCTCCCCCAGAGTGACATGTGAGTTCATTATAGGGCCTTGTGCTTCAGTCATGTAGTCATTGGTGGGGCAATCTTAGTTTAAGGTGACACAGTTTGACATGCCATATTGGCACCAAAAATTCAAAAACCAATGACGTTTTAGTGTGTTTTTTCTTCATTTTAGTTATTTAGCAGACGGTCTTATCCAGAGCGACTTACAAAAAAAAAAAATCATACTGGCCCCCCGTGGGAAACGAACCCAGAACCCTGGCGTTGCAAACGCGATGCTCTACCAACTGAGCTACACGGGACAAATGAGAATATTGTTATGGAATGTTTGGTGCCAACCTCAGTTCTTGAATCGACTGACTTGAAATGGAATTTGACCTCAACCCGGTGCCAACGTGGGGGAGAGTTTGTTTGCCAGTTTCGGAAAATACCTATGGCTCTGTGTGTGTCCCGTTGTGAAACTAGGAATGCCAGGAAGGAGTACATCGTGGCGAAGTATGCCGAGCGGCGCTACGTGCTGCGCAGGGACCGGGAAAGGGAGGAGGGTGAGCCGTGGCGTGTGTACGATGCCGTGACGAGCCGGGACCTCACCGCCCTGCTGCAACTACACGCCCAGGGAGAGGACCTGGCCAAACCGCTAGCACAGCCTGAAGGACAGGTACTGTTAAAGGAGACGCAGGCAGGTAGGAGGACAGGAAGTCAGACAGACAGGTACAGACAGACAGACAGAGAGACAATAAACATACGAAATTCCTAAGATCATTTCCCAGTGGAAGCTTTGAAGTGTGTGCCTCGCGGGCATCATTAGGATGCTGTTTCTAATGTAAAGAGCTGTGAAATAATTAAAAAGGCAGCTGGTTGTCCCCATATGATTTAAACAGCTAGCTTATGCTGGAAGGCTCTATTTAACATCATTCCTCTATGGGTTTGATTCAGCCAGCTGTACTATTAGAGTATTCTGTTGTATTCTATGGCGGGCTGGTTTTCTCCGAAGACTGCTGTGGATGCAGTGTCCCAAAATAGACTACAATTATTCTACACGTAATGTCATAAATGTCCCTATGTTTTTATGTTGTCAATTTCTCTCTGTTTGTGTGAACTTAATGAAGTGTGTGTGTGAGGCATCTGAGTGGTTAGTTAGAAGGCTCAGTACTGTATTTAGTCTACCACTCCCTTCTCTCTCTCTAATCGGACTCAATCTATCGTTCTCATTTTTCACCCCTCCATCCTGTCATCTCCTCTTGTTAAAATCTTACGTTCCCTCTCTTTTCTTCTTTCTTTTATCAAATTCGCCCATCTGCTGTTTTCCACTCTGGCAAGGTGTGCAATAGCACTGACATCCACACATTCTGTGTGTGCGTGTGTCTCTCGCTGTGTGTCTGTGTTGGCAGGCTCTCATTTATTATTTCAGCTTTTTGGGTCAGAGCTCATGTCTCCAGAGAGCTGAGGGAGTAGCTCATTGTATTACTCATTCATCACGCGCGCACACACAGCTCACACACCCTTTTTACAGACAGTCACACATACACACATATACAGTGGGGAGAACAAGTATTTGATACACTGCCGATTTTGCAGGTTTTCCTACTTACAAAGCATGTAGAGGTCTGTCATTTTTATCATAGGTACACTTCAACTGTGAGAGACGGAATCTCACAGAAATCCAGAAAATCACATTGTATGATTTTTAAGTAATTAATTTGTATTTTATTAAGTTAAGTATTTGATACATCAGAAAAGCAGAACTTAATATTTGGTACAGAAACCTTTGTTTGCAATTAGAGATCATACGTTTCCTGTAGGTCTTGACCAGGTTTGCACACACTGCAGCAGGGATTTTGGCCCACTCCTCCATACAGACCTTCTCCAGATCCTTCAGGTTTCGGGGCTGTCGCTGGGCAATACGGACTTTCAGCTCCCTCCAAAGATTTTCTATTGGGTTCAGGTCTGGAGACTGGCTAGGCCACTCCAGGACCTTGAGATGCTTCTTACGGAGCCACTCCTTAGTTGCCCTGGCTGTGTGTTTCGGGTCGTTGTCATGCTGGAAGACCCAGCCATGACCAATCTTCAATGCTCTTACTGAGGGAAGGAGGTTGCTGTCCAAGATCTCGCGATACATGGCCCCATCCATCCTCCCCTCAATACGGTGCAGTCGTCCTGTCCCCTTTGCACAAAAGCATCCCCAAAGGATGATGTTTCCACCTCCATGCTTCACGGTTGGGATGGTGTTCTTGGGGTTGTACTCATCCTTCTTCTTCCTCCAAACACGGCGAGTGGAGTTTAGACCAAAAAGCTATATTTTTGTCTCCTCTGGATCATCCAGATGGTCATTGGCATACTTCAGACGGGCCTGGACATGTGCTGGCTTGAGCAGGGGGACCTTGCGTGCGCTGCAGGATTTTAATCCATTACGGCGTAGTGTGTTACTCATGGTTTTCTTTGAGACTGTGGTCCCAGCTCTCTTCAGGTCATTGACCAGGTCCTGCCGTGTAGTTCTGGGCTGATCCCTCACCTTCCTCATGATCATTGATGCCCCACGAGGTGAGATCTTGCATGGAGCCCCAGACCGAGGGTGATTGACCGTCATCTTGAACTTCTTCCATTTTCTAATAATTGCGCCAACAGTTGTTGCCTTCTCACCAAGCTGCTTGCCTATTGTCCTGTAGCCCATCCCAGCCTTGTGCAGGTCTACAATTTTATCCCTGATGTCCTTACACAGCTCTTTGGTCTTGGCCATTGTGGAGAGGTTGGAGTCTGTTTGATTGAGTGTGTGGACAGGTGTCTTTTATACAGGTAACGAGTTCAAACAGGTGCAGTTAATACAGGTAATGAGTGGAGAACAGGAGGGCTTCTTAAAGAAAAACTAACAGGTCTGTGAGAGCTGGAATTCTTACTGGTTGGTAGGTGATCAAATACGTATGTCATGCAATAAAATGCAAATTAATTACTTAAAAATCATACAATGTGATTTTCTGGATTTTTGTTTTAGATTCCGTCTCTCACAGTTGAAGTGTACCTATGATAAAAATTACAGACCTCTACATGCTTTGTAAGTAGGAAAACCTGCAAAATCGGCAGTGTATCAAATACTTATTCTCCCCACTGTATATACACAGTGCTTAATGAGTTTGTCTGTTCTAGGATCTGAGAGAGACAGCTCTTCACTTGGCTGTCAGGCTGGAGGACAGGAGTTCTCTAGCCCTGGTGGACTTCCTCATTCAGAACAGGTGAGCGAGCCCCCAGGCCCTCAATACATATGGAACTAACGTCAGTGTGCTAGCGTAGCAGTCTCAGCGTCTTCCCCAGCTGAGTACAACTCAGGGGAACCGTCCTTACCACAGCTCGAACCCGGGGCCCTCTGCCTCGCTAACACGTGGGATTGCCCACTTGACAACGTACAAACCAGTTGAGCTATAGAAAAGGATCCAATTCGATAGCACCATTGGTAACATTTCAAGCTAGCTGTGGAGTAAGCAACTTACGGCACGTTCTTATCTCCGTTATACATAGTAACACAAGGGCTGTATCGGAAAACGTTTCTTGCCGTCAAATCTGTGCTTCTTCCGTTTTCTCCTCTCAAAGTGCATTTGAGAGGATCCAAGGTCACTCCTTCAGACCTCCTCCTCCAATAGCTTTGAAAGGAGTTTGGGGAACAAGGAAGGAGGAAGCAAGTATTTGACGGCTAATAACATGTTCAGAAACAGCCCAGGGGTGTATTCAGTAAGGTGAAATGTTTAGAACGTTGCAGATAGAAATGTGATCAGATCTGCTCTATATATGAATTTCTATCTGAAAGTTCTGTAACGTTGCACCCTCCTGAACAGAAGTCCTGGTTGGGGGATTCTGAATTTCCTGCTTATTCCTGGAAAACCTGGGAATTTTGGGAAAGTTACTGGAATTTTGCAACCCTAGTCACCAGTACTTAACATTAGTACTGTCTTACATACACCAGCCGCCAAAGACATAGGCCTACATGTACATAATTGACTCCAACTATCCCCACATAACAGTGGCTGTCTAGAGAAGAGGACTCGAGAGGGGAACACTGCTCTACACTACAGCGCCCAGCACCACAAAACAGAGTGCCTCAAACTGCTGCTCAAAGGAAAGGCTGTCCTCCACACAGGTACCTGGTACACACCTACACACACACACACACACACACACACACACCTGTACAAACACACATACAGTAAGGGGGAAAAAGTATTTGATCCCCTGCTGATTTTGTACATTTTCCCACTGACAAAGAGATGATCAGTCTATAATTTTAATGGTAGGTTTATTTGAACAGTGAGAGACAGAATAACAACAAAAAAATCCAGAAAAACGCATGTCAAAAAAAAAAATGTTATAAATTAATTTGCATTTTAATGAGGGAAATAAGTATTTGACCCCTCTGCAAAACATGACTTAGTACTTGGTGGCAAAACCCTTGTTGGCAATCACAGAGGTCAGACGTTTCTTGTAGTTGGCCACCAGGTTTGCACATATCTCAGGAGGGATTTGTCCCACTCCTCTTTGCAGATCTTCTCCAAGTCATTAAGGTTTCGAGGCTGTTTGGCAACTCAAACCTTCAGCTCCCTCCACAGATTTTCTATGGGATTAAGGTCTGGAGACTGGCTAGGCCACTCCAGGACCTTAATGTGCTTCTTCTTGAGCCACTCCTTTGTTGCCTTGGCCGTGTGTTTTGGGTCATTGTCATGCTGGAATACCCACCCACGACCCATTTTCAATGCCCTGGCTGAGGGAAGGAGGTTCTCACCCAAGATTTGACGGTACATGGCCCCGTCCATCGTCCCTTTGATGCGGTGAAGTTGTCCTGTCCCCTTAGCAGAAAAACACCCCCAAAGCATAATGTTTCCACCTCCATGTTTGACGGTGGGGATGGTGTTCTCTGGGTCATAGGCATTATTCTTACTCCTCCAAACACGGCGAGTTGAGTTGATGCCAAAGAGCTCGATTTTTGGTCTCATCTGACCACAACACTTTCACCCAGTTCTCCTCTGAATCATTCAGATGTTCATTGGCAAACTTCAGACGGCCCTGTATATGTGCTTTCTTGAGCAGGGGGACCTTGCGGGCGCTTCAGGATTTCAGTCCTTCACGGCGTAGTGTGTTACCAATTGTTTTCTTGGTGACTATGGTCCCAGCTGCCTTGAGATCATTGACAAGATCCTCCCGTGTAGTTCTGGGCTGATTCCTCACCGTTCTCATGATCATTGCAACTCCACGAGGTGAGATCTTGCATGGAGCCCCAGGCCGAGGGAGATTGACAGGTCTTTTGTGTTTCTTCCATTTGCGAATAATCGCACCAACTGATGTCACCTTCTCACCAAGCTGCTTGGCGATGGTCTTGTAGCCCATTCCAGCCTTGTGTAGGTCTACAATCTTGTCCCTGACATCCTTGGAGAGCTCTTTGGTCTTAGCTATGGTGGAGAGTTTGGAATCTGATTGATTGATTGCTTCTGTGGACAGGTGTCTTTTATACAGGTAACAAACTGAGATTAGGAGCACTCCCTTTAAGAGTGTGCTCTAATCTCAGCTCGTTACCTGTATAAAAGACACCTGTGAGCCAGAAATCTTTCTGATTGAGAGGGGGTCAAATGCTTATTTCCCTCATTTAAAATGCAAATCAATGTATACAATTTCTGACATGCGTTTTTCTGGATTTTTTGTTGTTATTCTGTCTCTCACTTTAAAAAAATTATAGACTGATCATGTCAGTGGGCAAATGTACAAAATCAGCAGGGGATCAAATACTTTTTTCCCTCACTGTATGTCGACATATGACTCGATTTACTGTGGATATAGATACTTTTGTACCTGTTTCCTCCAGCATCTTCACAAGGTCCTTTGCTGTTGTTCTGGGATTGATTTGCACTTTTCGCACCAAAGTACGTTAATCTCTAGGAGACAGAACGCGTCTCCTTCCTGAGTGGTATTAAATTTTATATTTTAGTCATTTAGCAGACGCTCTTATCCAGAGCTACTTACAGTTAGTGAGTGCATACATTTTTTTTATTTTTATTTTATTTTTTTAAATATATTTTTCTCACTGGCCCCCCGTGGGAATCAAACCCACAACCCTGGCGTTGCAAACACCATGCTCTACCAACTGAGCTACATCCCTACCGGCCATTCCCTCCCCTACCCTGGACGACGCTGGGCCAATTGTGCGCCACCCCATGGGTCTCCCGGTCGCGGCAGGCTACGACAGAGCCTGGATTCGAACCAGGATCTCTAGTGGCATAGCTAGCACTGCGATGCAGTGCCTTAGACCACTGCGCCACTCGGGAGACGGCTATGTGGTCCCATGGTGTTTATACTTGCATACTATTGTTTGTACAGATGAACGTGGTACCTTCAGGTGTTTGGAAATTGTTCCCAAGGATGAACCAGACTTGTGGAGGTCTACAATTTTATTTCTGGTCTTGGCTGATTTATTTTGATTGTCCCATGATGTCAAGCAAAGAGGCACTGAGTTTGAAGGTAGGCCTTGAAATACATCCACAGGTACAACTCCAATTGACTCAAATTATGTCAATTAGCCTATCAGAAGCTTCTAAAGCCATGACATCATTTTCTGGAATTTTCCAAGCTGTTTAAAGGCACAGTCAACTAAGTGTATGTACACTTCTGACCCACTGGAATTGTGATACAGTGAATTATAAGTGAAATTATCTGACTGTAAACAATTGTTGGAAAAATGACTTGTGTCATGCACAAAGTAGATGTCCTAACCAACTTGCCAAAATGATAGTTTGTTAACAAGAAATGTGTGGAGTGGTTGAAAAACGATGTTTAATGACTCCAACCTAAGTGTATGTAAACTTCCGACATCAACAGTATACATACATACATACACACATACATATATATATATATATATTTTTTTTTTTATGTATATGTGTGCCTTCAAAGTATTCATACCCCCTGACTTATTCCACATTTTGTTGTTACAGCCTGTATTAAAAAATGGATGAAATATTTTTTTCTCACCCATCGATCTACACACAATACCCCATAATGACAAAGTGAAAACATGTTTTAATCAATCTTTGCACATTTATTGAAAATTAAATACAGAAATCTTTCATTTTCATAAGTATTCACACCCAAGAGTCAATACTCTGTAGGCGCCTTTGGCAGTAATTACAGCTGTGAGTCTTTCTGGGTAAGTCTCTAAGAGCTTTCCACACCTGTATTGTGCAACATATGGCCATTATTCTTTTCAAAATTCTTCAAGCTCTGTCAAATTGGTTGTTGATCATTGCTAGACAAACATTTTCAAGTCTTGCCATATATTTTCAAGCAGATTTAAGTCAAAACTGTAACTCGGCCACAGGAACATTCACTGTCTTAGTGGTAAGCAACTCCAGTGTAGATTTGCCCTTGTGTTTTTGGTTATTGTCTTGCTGAAAGGTGAATTAATCTCCCAGTGTCTGATGGAAAGCAGACTTAACCAGGTTTTCCTTTAGGATTTTGCCTGTGCTTAGTTCCATTCTGTTTCTTTTTTATCCTGAAAAACTCCCTAGTCCTTAATGATTACAAGCAAACCCATAACATGATGCAGCCAACACTATGCTTGAAAATATGGAGAGTGATACTCAGTAATTTGTTGTATTGGATTTGCCCAAACATAACACTTTGTATTCAGGACAAAAAGTTAATTGCTTTGCCACATTTTTTGCAGTATTACTTTAGTGCCTTGTCGCAAACAGGATGCATGTTTTGGAATATTTTTATTTTGTACAGGCTTCTTTTCACTCTGTCAATTAGGTTAGTGTTGTGGAGTAACTACAATGTTGTTGATCTATCCTCCGTTTTCTCCTATCACAGCCATTAAACTCTAACTGTTTTAATGTCACCATTGGCCTATATATAAAAATACATACACACACACAGTGCTTGTAAATTGGATTATATAGCGATACCACAGTTAGTTTAGTCTTCTTTCTCTCTGTGTGTGTCGTCGTCCAGTGAATTCATCAGGAGAGACAGCTCTGGACATCGCCAGGAGACTGCAGCACCCCCAGTGTGTAGAACTGGTAAGACATGACTGACACTATCCATGTCCCAAATGGCACCCTATTCCACATAGTACACTACTTTTGACCAGAGTCCTATGGGCCCTGGTCAGAATTATTGCACTACATAGGGAAAGGGGCATAATTTGGGATGCAGCCACTGACCCTTAGTTTACAGTCAACTCTCAGTGCTAATACAGGCTTTATTTTCCTACTAGCTCTTATCTCTCCCTGGTAAACCTGCTCAGACCCTGTTCAATTTCCTGTCTTCCTTCCTATCAGTTATGGAACAATAAATAACATGCACAATCTCATATTATTTGTCACAAATAGCTCGTTGCTTAATCCTCATAGTAAAGTCCGTAATGAAAGAAATGGGCAGTGTGTGTTGTTCCTGGCTTATCCTTGGGTCTGTTACTGGACAACTGTATCCAATCCTTCCTGTTGAAAAAGGGATAAGCCAAGTTACCTGATACTGAAGTTGCTGTTTCAGTCAAGGTTGGGGTCAATTTCAATTCCAGTCAATTCAGCCAAGTTACAATTCCAAATGCACATTTTCCAAAGTGAAAAGCATTGAAGAGAGTTGATATTGAATTGGAATTGACCCCAACCCTGGTTTCAATCGTCTTTTGTGACAGACTTAAGAATACATTTTAACATTATCAAGTAGCTGGCCAGCACACGTGAGATTTGGTTCTGGGTTCCGAGACAACGGTTTCAGTGGTGTTAACAGTTGCCCCAAAGCTAGAATGTTAGTTCATTTTCTGGATGATATTCACGTTTTTAATGCATTTAATGACTACTGATAGGAACATGCAATGACTTGTTGCGGTATGTTTGTACTCTGAGTCAAATATGGATTTGTAGCTGCACGATTGACGTGTGTGCATCCCTGTTGTAGCTGGAGCTGGCCCAGAGTGGGAAGTTCAACAGTCAGATCCATGTGGAGTACATGTGGGAGACACAGAGCCAGGATATGTACGACAGCGAAGATGAACTGGATGAGAGGGTATGCACACACACTAACCGCTGTACAACCAATGCACTAGGGCAGGGGTAGGCAACCCTGGCCCTGGAGTGCTGCAGGCACTTCATGTTATTGATTTGAACCGACCTGGAAGACCAGGTGTGTTGAATTTAGGCAATTACTGATTTGATTAGCTCATTTGGTCAAGTGTGGTGCCTAGTTGGAACAAAATCCTGCAATACCTGCAGCACTCCAGGAACAGGGTTGCCTAGCCCTGCACTAGGGTTTAGTGTTCCCCTCGGTGCAACCACACTCTGCTTGTATCGCTCACTATTATGCTTGACTTAGTCATGGGGAGATGCAGGAGCAGGTGAGTGAGAGCCAAATGCCCTGTTGGATTACTTTAGAAATGCATCCTTCCTTCTTACTTTCCCTGAAGTAATTATTCATCTAAAGTGGTTGGATTGGTGGAAATAACGTGGTCACTTTGATTTCACCTATCCAATCACTTATAGATCTGTTCTTACCTCAAGGAAACAATGACGGAAGGTTTAAAAAAAAAAAAAGTATTCGAACAGGGCCAGATACTTTGCCATAAAGGTAGGCTAGGTGGAATTTTCATCATATTGCTTACACCTTTCCAGTTCTTTCAGATCCAAGTGTCTAGGGGTAAGGGCTGGGAACTTGGCTTCTATGGTCATTAAACAATTAATGTCGCCCTCGCTCTTCCCCCAAGGTGAGCCTCTTACCCAGGAACCTGCGATCCTCTCTGCCCTATAACGGGGGCGTGGGCGCCTCGCCCTCCCGCTGGAGCTTCGCCAACGCCCCTGTGGCGTGTAAGACCTACGAGAACGTGGACTTCCTGTACCGCAACCCCCCCGCCAACAGTGCCCCATCTGGCGCCCTCATGCCCCCACCGCCGCTGCCCGCTAAAGCCATCATGAGAGGTGAGCCTCTGCCCCACACACACACACACACACACACACACACACACACACACACACACACACACACACACACACACACATCATCTCTTTCCATTAGATCTTCAAACACTGAAATGAGGGCTCAATTTCTCTTTCCACTATTCAAGGAAGAATGAATTGAGAGACTGTTTTGTATGGCAAAGTCGGTTCCTGTGCCTCTCTTACTCACCTGCTACCGTCTCCCTCTCTCCCCACCTCCAGGCCGCTCGGACCCCCAGATCTCCGTGTCCACCCAGGAGGGGGGCCGCAAATCCCCCCGGCGCTGCTGCTCCAACCCTGCCCCCCAGTCCAGCCCCCCCTCCCCAATGTTGGAGGGTCAGGGTCAGACCCAGGGGGGGTGGCCACCCAGATCACCCCACGGCCAGGGGGGTCCGGTGAGGGGACAGAGACCAACCGTAGCCTGGGAGGGTCAGGCTAATACTGGCTCATGGTCTGGGGCCTTAGACAGCAGCACCAAGTCCACCTCCCCTCAGAACCACATAGGACCCGTCAGGTAATAACAATACATTTTTTTTAACTTCAAAAGCCCTTTTCCTGATAGAAGCATGAAAAGTCTAACATTTGTTTTGTCACAACCCCATTAAGAAAGATAATTCCCATCCTAAGAACTGTTTTGGGGAAAACAGCTTTTGTTTTGCTGTGTGCTTTTGGACAGCATGCAGCAGTAGTTAACTGCAGTGCACAATTATTTTATCTTACAGCGCCCTCTATTGGCACCTAGTGAATTTCCTCTGAGGTGGTCAGTAAACTATTAAATTCAGCCTACTCTCTAACAGTAATGTCCTCAATGAACCCCTGCTTTCTCAATGTCAAATGCTAAGGAATGTGATTGATGATAACATTTATTTATTTTGCTTAACATACATACATGTACAGTACACTGACATTTCATGTATCCCATTTTATAAACTGGTTGGTTCGAGCCCTGAATGCTGATTGGCTGACAGCCGTGGTATATCAGACCATATACCACGGGTATGACAAAACATTTATTTATACTGCTCTAATTATGTTGGTAACAAGTTTATAATAGCAATAAGGAATCTCGGGGGTTTGTGGTATATGGCCAATATACCACGGCTAACTCCTGTATCCAGGCACTCCGCATTGCGTCGTGCATAAGAACAGCCCTTAGCCGTGATATATTGGCCATATACCACACCACTTATTGCTTAAGTATACCATATGTCCTATCCCAGTGAGCACAAGACATTGAAAAGCAGTCTTTTCAACCAACGTCTTTTGCTCATAGGGATGCATCTGTGAGTAGATGAAGCCCTTGTGAGTGTATGAGTGTTTTACCAACATGTCCTCTCTTCCCCACCTAGCTCAGAGAAGACGACGTCGTACAGGAGGAACAATAGTGGAGGACAAGGGAAATGTTGTACAGCCGTGACCTCTCCCAGCTGTGTGGCACTTGGCAGTCAGGAGGAGCTGTACTGCAGCTTCGTAACTAACGACCCCGCCCCTGGCTCCACACCTGCAGCCGCACCCACCATCTCCCCCATCACTGTGCCCGCCCCGCGCCCTCGCAGAAATGCCATGGTACATATAATAGGCTACAGCGAGCATGCACACAGAGACATACATTTTTTTGGTCCATGAGTTCTTCGAACTCTTGGTATGTAGAAAAACTGCTTAATTTCCAGAACCTCACACTATCCCTTTAACATTACTGTGTATATCTAATGTGGTTCGTATAAGTATGTGTTCTAACATCGTATAACTACTGTACAGTATTTTTGTATAAGACAATAGTAATCAATCAAATTCATTTATAAAGCTTTTTACATCAGCAGATGTCATAAAGTGCTTATACAGTGATGCGCGGGTTGAGTCATAACCCGCAGTCCCCGCCGTTATATCCGGGGAGGACGGGTTTAGGGTCACTAAATATTGTGTGGATGAAGGGCGGGTGGGTGGTGGCTGGTTTGAATAAAGAGAAAACAAAAAAAATCCATAAATGTATAATTCTTGTCAAATTAATATCAATAGGCTACATAAAGGTTGTTCTTGTATTTCTTCTGCCATTAGTGCATAAGCCTAAGCATCAGGGCCTAAATATACGCGCGCCAAATAAATAAATGTTGAAGAAAAACGTAATTGTTCAATACATTACAGAAAAAAAGGGAACTGTAAAGTGCATTTTCTATATTTGCGGGTCGGGTGCGGGCCTCCGATTTTTATCACATATAGTCGGGCTGTTGAGGACAGCTTATTAGCAATTGCGGGTGGGTGCGGGTGAACAAACAGCTGACCCACGCATCACTATAACACAATGTGAAAATATGAGCAATATAATATACCTGAAAAGACTGACATGGATATCATTGGCTGCTTATACTCCACATTCAGCAAGTAGGCATTTCTAAACATACTGTATGCCTGTGTAAGAGCGTGTCTGTAAAGTGCGTCTATGTGTGTGAGGTATCTAAGAGCCGGCCCACACAGAAGAAGGTCAAGGCGCTGGTGGACTGCAGAGCTGTCGGCTCGGACCAGCTGGCCTTCTTCAAGGATGAGGTCATTGTTGTCACAGCCACCGAGGACCCCCACTGGTGGGTGAGTAGAAATACACCTCTTATTTACCTATTGACCATTATGTATTTGTTTTATGTTTTAATTCATTTTTAATAACAGGTTTAACACAAAGTTCAGCTATTTATCTTTCTTCCAACCTAGCTCTTTTTTTAACCTATTCTCATTGAGAGAAAAATCTCTTGCTATATCTTATCACGAAAAAAAAACAACTGGAAGTTTTTCTTTGGTGTATCACGTTCAGCATAAAGACAAAAAATACAAGGCATAGATAGCCCTTACATTTAATTTCCCTGTATCTGAAATCTATCCCTCCATGTTCTCCATCTATTTGGTCATTCATCTTGATGGTTTTTATGCCTACAGGTTGGCCACATCGAGGGCTATCCATCCAGAAGTGGGACATTCCCAGTGAACTATGTCCATAAACTAGGGCACTGACTAGTCATAGCCATGGAATAACCTAAGCTCTACGCCCTACCCTTACGCTTAGTACGTCACTTACCTGGGAAACCAAAAGGCTGGAACGAACGCTCTTGAACCGGCTCATTCAAAGACAAAAACACTTTCTCGCTTTCCTGGTCATTTTTTAAAAATATGATATTCTGAACTATGAACCACTTTGATGTGTTGTGATCTGAGGGCTATATCGACTCTGCATACACTCAATTGTACATACAGACACTTAAGGAAGTCACTATAAAATAATAAAGTATGAAAGAAAGGGGGCACAGGGAGGAATGCCACCCTATGAGAAAAGAGTGATGAGAAATGCCTCCCTCCACCTTTGACCCCTCCACTTGTAAAACATACAAGTATTAAAGGGTATTTACCACACCTCACTGCTTGGGGAAAACGCTAACTACAGCCCCAGCCACATAACTGTTGGAGAAGTTGGCGTTGAAATTTGGAGCTGGAATTTGTGCGTGTGTTCGTGCGTGTCAGCCTGTGCGTGAGCATAACTGTTGGACTACCTTGCAGTGAGTCTGGAGAATGTGTGCTGTGTATCCAGTATAAAAGAGGGTGAATAACCTACATTGTCCACTGCCTTCCTGGAAACTAAGGAGACTAGGAGATTCATGCTATGTCATTTACAGTTGTCGGATGCAATGAATACCTGCTCAGTGACCGGTGGCATTGATGTCTGTGGCTGGAACGACCTGGAACTGAAAGCCAGACAAAGTGCCTTTGTGGGTGCCAGCCTGTCTCCCTGGGCCTCCGGGGCTCTCAGGCTGCCGCTCTGAAATGGAACTCTAGCGTCTAAGCTGGTTTTGGGCCAGACTCCAGCTCCGACTGGAGGTCTGGCTGGTGCCTGGGTGATTCGGTTTCCTCCAGTCTCCAGAGGCAGAGGAGTCTCTCTACACAGTATGCAGAGTACAGGAAGAGACTGTCACTGCAGTGAAATACACAGCTGGATTGTATTCAATAGGCACCAAACAGACTTAAACAGGAAAAGACTAACTGAACTGATCCAATAAGAAATGTTCATGTTTGTTTTCCACTGCAAAATGTTGTCTGTTACCAGGAATCCGGCAGAATACTGTCTCATAATACAATTTCATAAGCACTTTTTAATGCCGCTGATAGGGAACCTAAAGCTCAGTATGAGATCTGACTTAAGTGTCTTATACAACTGGTTTATCTGTCCACAAGTGAAGCTATGCCTGCTATGGGCATAATAGGCTCTCGTAGGACAGACAACGATACAACCCTTTTAGAGATGAGGATCTGTAGCTTTTCAGCTGTGCAGGTATTTCCACGCCTGTTTGCATTCCTGGAGTTAGACAGGGGGTTATTGAAGGTTTGTTTAGCTTTCTATAGATCGAGTCACTGTGCCAATAAATATACAAGCAAATAAGTGCATGATCACATGAATGTGCATGGATCCAGGGACGGACTGAAAGATTAGGGCAAACCATTGAGTGCATGTTGCACTCTGTTGTACAAATGTAAAAAACACATCTGTTGCATGTTGGAAACATTTATATATAACATTTATCACCCAGTGTTGTAAAATTGCTGAGTATCAGATTCGATGCATTATCTTTACATACTGTACCATACTTTCTCATGTTCCACTACTCACTCTCTGTCTCTCTCTCTCTCATGTAAATGATACTTGTTTGTTGTGAACATCACTTCGATTCTATAAACTCTTATCTGTGCCAGTGGAGCAACAAGGCATGGGATCTGGAGTAGCGGTGGCCCAGTCAGTACAGTGCACTCTACTGGGTTGGGCCAGTGCTCTGAGGTAGGAACCCTTTGAATAATTGAGTGAGCAAGAAAGGAAATATAACCCCCGGTTTCCTACTGATGACTACAATAAAACCAACTGAGACAGAGGAATGAGAGGTGTGCTGGAGCCCCCCAGGCCCTATATACGCTTCACTTTAAGTTTGACTGTGAGCTTGAATAGGGCTGCGTCCCAATACTCTATCGTTTTCTTTATGGGTACTATCAGATCAGTGGTTGTGAGGGAAGAAAGCTATTTTACATTATTGGACTAATGGAGTTTATGGAGAGCTATGTGAAGGCACTTGTTCTTCCATGTCTTCGTATCATTGAGACATATATACACCAAGCAAGCGGCACCATGAAGACCAAGGAGCTCTCCAAACAGGTCAGGGACAAAGTTGTGGAGAAGTACAGATCAGGGTTGGGTTATATAAAAATAAATCCAAAACTTTGAACATCACAACAAACCTGCCAAGAGAGGGCCGCCCACCAAAACTCACGGACCAGGCAAGGAGGGCATTAATCAGAGAGGCAATAAAGACACCAAAGATAACCCTGAAGAAGCTGCAAAGCTCCACAGCGGAGATTGGAGTATCTGTCCATAGGACCACTTCAAGCCGTACACTCCACAGAGCTGGGCTTTACGGAAGAGTGGCCAGAAAAAAGCCATTGCTTAAAGAAAAAAATAAGCAAACACGTTTGGTGTTTGCCAAAAGGCATGTGGGAGACTCCCCAAACATATGGAAGAATGTACTCTGGTCAGATGAGACTAAAATTGAGCTTTTTGGCCATCAAGGAAAACGCTATGTCTGGCGCAAACCCAACACCTCTCATCACCCCAAGAACACCATTCCCACAGTGAAGCATGGTGGTGGCAGCATCATTCTGTGGGGATGTTTTTCATCGGCAGGGGCTGGGAAACTGGTCAGAATTGAAGGAATGATGGATGGCGCTAAATACAGGGAAATTCTTGAGGGAAACCTGTTTCTGTCTTCCAGAGATTTGAGACTGGGACGGAGGTTCACCTTCCAGCAGGACAAGGACCCTAAGCATACTGCTAAAGCAACACTTGAGTGGTTTAAGGGGAAACATTGAAATGTCTTGGAATGGCCTAGTCAAAGCCCAGACCTCAATCCAATTGAGAATCTGTGGTATGACTTAAAGATTGCTGTACACCAGCGGAACCCATCCAACTTGAAGGAGCTGGAGCAGTTTTGCCTTGAAGAATGGGCAAAAATTCCAGTGGCTAGATGTGCCAAGCTTATAGAGTCATAGCTGTAATTGCTACAAAAGGGGCTCTACAAAGTATTGACTTTGGGGGGGTGAATAGTTATGCACGCTCAAGTTTTCTGTTTTTTTTGTCTTATTTCTTGTTTGTTTCACAAGAGAAAAGATTTTGCATCTTCAATGTGGTAGGCATGTTGTGTAAATCAAATGATACAAACCCCCCAAAAATCAATTTTAATTCCAGGTTGTAATTCAACAAAATAGGAAAAATGCCAAGGGCGTGAATACTATCGCAAGCCACTGTAGATCCTGAATCGATCTCTATGGTTGAGACTTTGTCACATGGTTTCTGTGAAGTTCTATCTTACGTTATCAATATAATGGAATATTTCTGTCATTTCATTATTAGCAAGTATTTGTAATATAGTATGTGTTTTGCACTCTTTATGTCCTTTCCACATGTGATGTGATTTTTAAGCTCCACCAGCGATTATTAAAGAAGACTTAACATCTGACAGTTTTATGCTGTATTCCATATTTGTATTATGGAAAGTTTGGTCACTTTCAGAATGGATTTACATTATAATCAATGTATTGATGCAGGAAACTTTTGTTTTCATACATAACGCCTGAGAGATAATTATGTAAAATATGAATGGCCTTCAGTATCCAAAAATAAAAAGATGGAGAGTGTAGAGCAGAATGCCTGAGATGGATTGCATGTGATAGATACTGGAACTAACAATAGTTGAAAGTGATTGTTCTGATTGCTTAGAAATCTCATCCTCATGATGCACACTCGTATAGATCGAAATACTGACGGTATAAGACTTGTTTTATTGAAAACATCCAATAAGAAAAATAGTTTTGTAAACTAGACATTAGATGAGAGTACAAGCTAATAATAGCTTGCATGTATTCATAAAGCTATCACTAAAACATCATTTTGACCATTACAATCACTAAACATTTATTTAAAATCTATGAATCTATTAATGCCAGTTAATCTAATGTTTGGGGGTTACTCACCAAAAATACCTACTCTGTTACATTTGTGAAATGGGGGCTTATAACAAATGGAATTAAAATGGAACACTCAATTTATTTTTGGAACATTCCTCAACCTACCCCTAACAAAAACACACATGTCCTCCACCCCTACTTTACCTTCCAACCAATGTCCTCATCCACCTCAAATCATCCAAAACCCCTAGGATTAAAACAGTACAGCCCACGTCACCTATTACAGGGATTACCATTATACACAGCCTGTGTTTTGGGATCACGACCTTTTTATTGAATGCTCTTACTGAATGTGCACTCTGTAAGAAAACTGTAGTGTGTGTGTGCACACTAAGAAACACACAGGCCTAATGGGACCAGAGAGCTGGTGTAAGGGACGGTCTGGTCCTCATAGTGGGCAGTAGCAGAACTGTTTGGATCGTTATCCCAGGCGGGCATCAGTGAGGTGGCTGGTTGTCGAAGGGCTCTATTCAATCTGATCCGCTTTAGCCGACATCCACATAGCGGTTGTTTTGGCGGCGTCTGAGGTGTCAAATCCACAAGCGGCTCCTGGCATTATACCTAAAGGCCTAAATCTAGGCCTAAGTGACAGATATTACATCACTCCTGGCTCGGGACAGACCGAGGAAAAGAGGGTCAGGGTGCCACATGGCTTAGCCTTGGATGTGATGTACTATATCTAATAACACTGTACATCAGGTTAAAGGCTTAACTGTCATGCTGTATGTAATACTGTACATTCATAAATGGCATCCTGTATCATAAATCATCCTCACTGTCATATAGGACATTAAACATTATGTAATATATACAGTACCAGCTCATAATAAAATCCAACACAGCCTCCGTATAACTCCGATCAGTATTAGAATAGGTAAATCAAGTTTTTCATTTTTAAATATATACACTGCTCAAAAAAATAAAGGGAACACTAAAATAACACATGAGTGAAA